CGACTCGGAAGAGGAACAAACAAGGGCTGTGGAATGACGTAGCCTAGCACCACTCGGGCAATGGTGGCCGCTTGTAAAATTTACATGTCAGTCAAAACATCGACAGCGAGTACAACCGGAAAGATGTTGGACCTGGAACAGAGGAGCTAGGTCCACAGGCTGGCCAGTTTTCTGAGGTGCGGAAGCCTGCGAACACGCTGCTTCAGTGCAGACAAGTGGAGATATTTCATACAGAGGGGGTTGGTACTGTGAGCACGACTGATAAGTAAATTTTGGAGAAAAGATAGTGCACTGTGGATGGATATCTTACTCAGCCCTGATTATCACGCTAATATATGGTCCAAGACTCACCTAAAACGAACATTCATCTCCACCCACTCCGTCCATCTTCCCTATGCCACTCACCAACAGCCCGCCAAAAGCACCAAAAAATCGCAGTTAAAAAGTCGACATGGATTGGTCAGCCTTCGATATCGATTTAATTATTTATAATGTTATTTACTACATCATATAGCATTAATTTGCTTAATTTGAAATATCTCTCGTGGCGGCCTTACGAAATTCCTCAGTGATGTTGTCCTAAGAAAATAATGGCTTGATGTAAGTAAACTTATCCAGCATTCTAGCAACTGCGGAATGAATCTTTTGATGCCCTAACAGGATGTTCTACTCCGTTTCGGTTGAAAGACATGGACAATTGTGAATTAAATTTGGACGAGAGACTTGGAGAGAGGTGCGACCACAATGTCGGCAATAATTCCGTAGGCTCACATACAATGCAGCCCCCGAGCTTCCTGTAATGATTAAAGCCTCTCTTTCCGGCTCATCACTTGCTATCCCTAAGTGAGCAGGCTGGATATTCACCATCGGTCGAAGCTCTGAAATCTGGACATCCTGGCATGATACACAGCTTCAGCGATCCAATTTTTACTCTCCAAGCTCTAGAGACCATCGAAATAGGCATGTAACCTCAATACTACATGACTCGCTGACTAAAATTCACCAAGCAAAAAAGCTGCGACGTCAAAATGAACAAGGGAGGATTCGACACCTTGGAACGTCACTCCTTTGGAAAATCTGAAAGCTGTGTGGCACTTCCCTGTCCATATGCTTCGCTCGTTTCGCCATTACGAAACACCTCCGAAATACAATGCTTCAGTTCGGAACTTATTCAAAAATCGGTCTTTTCTCACTTTATGTAAGAGTCTAAAAGAGCGACCAATTTATTCTCGTGCACCTCCCTTTTCTCGGATCTCCTCTTATTGGCATGGTGGGTAATGCCCTCGGAGAGACCGACCGGTCTCTACTCTTGCGTTGGCCCTCAGTACCCACTTGCATTGCAGAAATTATCGAGAACGCGACATACAAACTTCCACTCACCGATATACGGATACCCGTGACTTGTACAAAGATAGAATTGGAGCGGCCCGCGCCATCAAGTTCTAATTAACATAGTTAATACGACCATAACAAGTACGTTTCCCCAATACCTGTGCTAAATGAAGTTCGCTAACCCTGTAAAGGCATAGCTAAAACAAGCTAACCCCCTACATGCACTCGCTAATGTCGGTCCTTTGCGCACAATTGCCTCTGCCATCATGGGCCGACTCTCCATCCTTCTATATTCGTTGCCTGTCATCGCTCTCCAATCCCCGCACTATCCTTATGCGTCACGTATAAAAGGAGTTGTGCGATTCCTTAGAATTCGGGTGGATCGCCTGCTTCATCCCTTCTGCTATAACCTACCCTCCTACGTAGCTGGGAGCATTGTACGCCACCAACTACGACATGTCCATGTCTTGGGAAGAGATAGCAAATAGTGCAACGAGGCCCAATACAGGAGATAAAGCATCTCAGTGCCCGTTTAGGGTCTCTGAAATGTAAGATGCTCAAAGGGGAACGGATGTGATGGCATTCTATCGTGGTGCCTGTGCATAAGTCCTATACGGTGGCAATCAGACAGCCCCAATGTACCATTATTCTGCTATCCTCCTTCAGTCTCAGTACGAAACACACTGTTCAATATGCCGTTGACGAGGTCATATAAGGTCGGTCGAGCTTCCGACTTCCACGATATCAGCGCCTGCTATGGAAATCGTTTGCCTACAACCTGGTCCCGCTTTGGAGGCCTCTACATCTCCGGCCTTTTCGGTCGGCAAGTACAACGATGATATTGAGATAATCATTGATGATGATCACATTGTAGATCGCCTCGCGGAGAGAAGGTATGTTCGCCCGTCTTTGCCTGAACGGAATTGCAGCTCAAGTTTCCCCATCGCTACTAGAGTGCTTAGGCGACTTGATCTTCGTGTTATGCCATCGTTCATATTGATGTCTTTGTTCAGCTTCTTAGCTCGAGCTAACATCGTGTGTAGTCCCCTCTGAAGTATGTCCAAAATCTCATCACTTACTAAAGGGAAATGCCAGGATCCTAAACGCTGATAGTGGCGACTCCCTCCTCCAAACTCTACATATGACAGATCAGCAATTCCTTGTGGTACTGGCAATGTTCGTCGTCCCATTAGCAGTGTTCGAGACCCCGTCAAATTATATGCTCAAATACTTCTCTGCGCCACATTGGTTTGCCTTTCTCCTGCTCGGGTGGGGAGCAACCGATATGATTATAGCCGCATCTCGGAACTATTCCACATTAATTGGTCTACGGTTTTTGCTGGGCACGTTCGAGGCAGGTCCGTTGAAAGCCCTTGCACTTCAATATTTCCGATCTGATATCACTTTCTAGGTTTTTTTCCCGGGATGATATACTTCCTTACATTGTACATCCCCCGAGATTCCTATTCCTTCTACTCCGTTCTGACGTCATGATCTTGCAGTTGGTATCGACTCCAAGAACGTGCGATCCGTTTATCGTATATCATCGCAGGCGCGCCTCTCGGGGGCGCATTCGGAGGTAGCATCGCGTACGGAGTAGGGTTCATCAATGGTGCTCGAGGTCTCCAAGCTTGGCGATGGCTGTTCATCATAGAAGGTGCCCCATCGTGTCTCCTCGCGATAATTGTGTACTTCTTCTTTCCCTCCTACCCTGAGAGGGCAGCCTGGCTATCATCAGAAGACCGCCTTCTCGCCGTCCGCCGGCTGAACCAGGAGTCATCGAGGTCTCTAGGACATGAAATGATCACGTGGGATGGCGCCAAGGCTGCGCTGAAGGATTGGCGGTTATATCTGCACTATACCGTGTTTATCTCTGTGTCAGTGCCATTTTCGAGTATATCTCTATTCACACCGACCATCGTGAATGGACTCGGGTACAGAGGGCTCAATGCTCAGCTCTTCACTGTACCGCCCTTTGCTGTGGCGTTCTTTGCTACTGTGGTGGTGTCCTGGGTGGCGGATCGGTATCGGATCTGGTCAATGTGTGGCATGGTATCGATGGTACTAGCAGGGATGACTTTTCTTATTCTTGGTAAGCCTCTAATCATAACTTCTCTGAATAGTGCTGAAGGATATATGCCTGCAGGTTCGCTACCACCAACATCGTTCAAGGCACGATATGCAATGCTCTGCCTAGGAACGATGTTCTCCTACGCTGGCAACCCCTCACTACTAGCGTGGCTTACCGGAAATTTGCGGGACACTAACGCAACAACACTCGCAATTCCGATGAATGTCGCTTTTGGGGCGTCGGGCCAGATGATAGGTCAGTCGCTATTTCGAGTGTTTGCGGCATGTGGCTGAACGCATATTCAGGAATATTCATATACAAGTCAAGCGAGGCTCCTAGGTACGCAACAGGGCATTTTACGAACGGGGCGGTAATGCTATTAGGTGCGGTAGGTGTCGGAATTTTACGGATCATCTATAAGAGAAGGAATGGAGAGCTAGCTGTCGGACAAAGACCTTGGATAGTGTAAATGCATATGACATCGCTCCGACAATGAAATTACTTAGTAGTAAACGTGACACAAGAAAGCACTCAATAGGTAACTCGAGTTGGCAATTGCTATACTTTTCATGCATTATAGTGTCATAAACAAAGCATCTGCCCTTCGACCCTACGAGGCGATGTATTCTACAAGCTGATGAGAAAAGATCTTTCTTTCACAGTCAGCCTTGACATCTCTATCCTTATCCGCTTCGGCGATCTCCAGTTTGCAATTGTACAAGGACATACGCAAACCAATCTCCACTACAGTATTCACGGAGAGATTTCTACATGTTCTGACAGGACGTCCTTTTTCAGCAATGGTACGTAGCGCACAGTCGCAGGCCCGGTGATCTCGTACTGGATGCACCCTGAAACAAACACGGTCCCGGTTGTCATCTGAACTACTACGAACATACTTAACACGATCTATATGATGGTCAAGACTTGCTTTTCTCACTTGAGTTGGGGTGCAGAGCCCACAAGAAGCGATTCGCCAACAATGGGAGACCGGGCCAGATTCTGTGGACGTGGAAAGTTCCTTCAGCAAAGGTTTGAGATGCTAGCAAAGTTTCAAAAAATGAACCCGTAAAAAGGGACATCGTGATCGTCACAAGCACCTGAGGCGATTCAACGCACATAATTGGGCAAGCTAGAGTCTGTATGTATATTTATCGGATATCAGAAGCTACTGCAAGCGGCTCGAATGAGCGGCATGGTTTCGGAATGCCACATGTCGGCCAGACCGGCCTGAGATCTACTCTTTCTTGACCGGGACTATACCTCTATTTAATTAATTAATAAAGATCAGTTCGGGTCTCAGCACTTCACATAAGCTGACGAGCCTGCTCATAACTTAGAGCATGGTGACTTCGGTAAGGAAGCATACCTACACGGTGCATGTTTCGAACTGGAGAGAACTCTGAGAAGCTGTCAGCCCGAAGAAATGTCACTAATGTTTCAGTAAATTTCATAGTCAGCAGACGCACTCAACAGTCAAAACTTAAAGCATGAAATGTACCTGGTCAGTGGTAAAGGACAGGACTCCGGTCTGCCGGATTTAGGATTTAGGATTCCGAAATCCGCCCAACAAAATAAGAGAGTAAGCCCTTTCTGATACCGACGACGAGGATCGAACTCGCAACCTTCGCCTGTTATTTCTCTAAATAGGAAAGCGACGCGCTACCATTGCGCTACGACGGCTCCGCATTCGAAATTAGGCATGCAACTCACATCCCACTGAGCATCTGTCAGCTGGGGTGAGAGAGAAGGATTGACCTGGGCAGTAGGGCTGCTGCGGAAGGGTAGCTTCAGAAGTATGCTCCCCATCCCGATTCCTGATACCCTATAGAACAGACCGGAGCATTTCATTTCGACGCGCAATATAGTATACTCGTACTGCCAGGTTCATCTCCGCCATAGCTTCCATTTTCTATATGAAATGTCCATTAAAAGCGCCGTCGAACACACCCTGTGGTTAATTTAGGACGCTGCAAACTTTCTTGCTGTGAGTTTACGGTCCGGCCAAGTCCATTCCTCCAAATCTGCGACGACTCTCCCTGTTCCCGCATAACCTGGATAGTTATCACACCTTTTGGGATCCTATAACAACACCATGTGATGTATCCTAACAGAGAATAAACACCCTCATAGGGATGTCGCAGATCCGCTCTAGCTTTGTTACATCGAAATGGCGAGTTACGTGATTATAAAGATTCATAGTTGCATCAACAGTCCCCGAAACGTCCTAGATGCAGCTCGAAAGGTATGAAGGGATGATAGCCTAAATTAAGATCATTGAGAATGACCTGCCCTTGTTCGTCAAAGCGGCCAGCCGGGAGACGTAATGTTTTCCTATCCTTGTAGATTGTCAGAGAGGTATCTAGTGGACTAAGTTATGTCACTCACATTCTCGTCCTGTTCCCGCTAGTGATCCCATGCTTGTGTGGCTAGATGATTTCCTACGGACTGAAACCGGCGAATGTTTCAGCAGTTTGAAACTTAATATCACCACTAACTGCAAATCATCATACCACAGACATTGATCAATGCAAGTGGACTGATAGGTAACGTCCTACCATTCGAAGAAAGCGGAGGGCCCCTTTCGCACTTGATTCATGCGACATGACTCCATACAGATGCCGTTCGCTTCCTGGAAGTAGATGAGCTAAACTAAATAGGGAAGAGTTGTAAACTAACTGTGGAATACAAGAGCCAGAAAATTCGGCGACGCGCATACACCGAAAAGCTGGGAAATATTCGGATGTCTCGCTCAAGGTCAGAATAGATCTCGTAACGAAAGTGCCTGCTCATGACAGCATGCAGGATACCTTAAGTGAAGCCATCGTTCTGATTCTTTTCGAAATAGCGTCGAGGAATGGAATCAGAGTACACGTTAGCATAGTCGAACACTAACATACTTTGGTCACTCGTTCTTGCTGGTCCGCCCGAACTCGGAAGACGCGAACAAGTTTGGGGCGGCCGTCGATTATAGCGTGATATCCATCAAAGCCCGAACAGCTCCCATTATGACAGCTGCATGGATCAGATGCTTTGAAGTATATATCTTCTGGAATGAGATCATGGACCTGAAGAGGTACAAATCAGGAATGAAATAGTCGCTCGTGTATTAAGAAATGAGATACCAATGCCCCATACAAACCTCGTTGCACAAAGACCTGTATGTCAACTGAACCTTTTCCATGGTTTCGCTCTGCAGGACATCAGGGATGCGCATCTCTTCGATGTTATCTTTCATGGCCGAAGTAATATTTTTCTCTGACGCCTCCACAGCACTAGTTAGAGTGCCGAGTCTCATGTCGACTTGATCCTGGACATCAGAGAGGACCAATTGTGTCGTAGCTGTCATGCGGATCTGTGACCCGATTAAAAAGTAGCTGTGAAGGTAAAAGTAAACTACCTACCGAAGTCTTCCTTAATTGTCTGTACTCGTCGTTGGTATGCATTGATATCATCCGAGATCTTCGCTTCAAAATCCGCCGAATTTCCATGCTACCTGCGTTCGCTGTTCAGCTATGCAAGTATATTGGCGTGAGGAGGCAACGATAACTAACGCGGGAGTCGACTTACTCCTGACACTCCACACAGATATTCGGAAAATGTGATACACCAGTTGGACATTCGATCACATCCCTCACAACGACCAATGCTTTCACGACACTCCCGGCTAAATCTCGCAGATCGTTTCTATTCTTCACGGCTTTCTGCGGGCTCGTTACTAGGAAAGAGACTAACAGAAACAAATGTTACGACATACCTGAACGTTCTCGAGAGCACCTTTTACAAAGCGATAAGGAACCACTTCTCCCGCTGCTGTCGTAAGCCTTGCGGCCTGATGGCATGATCGACATCGAGGTGAGGAAGCATGATGATAGCAGTAGTAGAACGAACAGCACCAACTATCATGATCGACCTACTCCGATCCACCTTTGTTGTTGCTCAGGTACTAGGAGACACTGCTGTTATGATCCTATCGTCTCCGTGACTCATTCTCAATCAACGCCATCAGTGCTCAGACCGGCCATTCATTTGAGGAGTCATTTAATCGATATTTGCAAGTTATCTTTGAGCTGGTAAGAGGTGCTCGACATTTGGGCGTACACACTGTAGTGCCGACCAGGTTCAGGATGAAGGGCTCGGTATCCAACACTGACATACGAAGCTGGACTAGCCATCGTGTAAGTAGCTTGGGCAAACCGGCTACCTGAGAAATTGGTAGATGCCAAGATCATGGTTCTGTGGGTTCTTTGAAGGTATATTTCGTGATACCCGCAAAGTCGCGTGGCATGGATCAACCTACGTCCGGGGGCGAGTACCTGCCATGTGAAACAGTCTTGCATGCATTGATTTCCTCGAGCTATGGAAAGGAGTGAGCTGGGAAGAACCGGTAGTGGCTAATGGCGCGTACTGTTTCCTCGCGACAGGGCCAAATGACACTGGAAGTACGGGCCGACTCTAAATGGATGTGTCGGCGAATCTGGAAGCGAAAACATACAGGAACAGAGAGACTTACTGTGCCGAGACCAGTCAACATACACATCCAGGCAATCAGGTGTGTAGCGATTGCTCCGATTGTATGGGGAGACCTGGCGGTTCATATGAGGTGGAACGAAGACCGGACAGAACAGAAAAGAGTAACATAGCGAGGATTCATGGGATGTTTCGGACAGTACATGCTACGCTGTTGCCATGGGAGAACTGTGGCACCATAGCCTGCTGTTGACCAGGAAAGAATCCAGACCGAGTTCCATAACGTGTGTTTCGCATTCTCCAGATGCCGTCAATCTCGGCATACCAGAACGGATTACTAATACGGACCGAAAGTTCCGCGACCTAGAAACAACAACTGACAAGAGACTACTCTCTTCTCTTTCCTCGACCGACCATGACAGAACCTCTTCGCCTGGGAATTATCGGCCTCTCTACCCAAGGTTGAGCGTCGACGCATCTCGCGCTCCCCTTCTCGCTCCACCTCTCTCGTCGCACTAAGAAATTCCTGCCGTGTCCATGACGAACCCTACATCCGCAGAGGCAAGCGCTGCGAAAACACGGCAGTCAAGGCATACCACACACCCGAATCCACTGCATCCGACCCTGACCTCAATATCATCGCCAGTGAAGACACCCAATCACGTAGAGAACGCTACAAAGGACATCGAGTCAGGGAAGGACCTCTTTATTGCGTGGCCGGCAGGAAGGGATTGAAGGAGACGAAGCTCCTCGCCGAGTTAGCGAAAGCAAAGGGTATTCGGACGATTGTTGGTCTTCAGGCGAGACAGAGTGCGCTATTTCGCAAGGTGAAGAAACTGGTCGAAGAAGGGGAAATCGGAGATGTCTTGTCCACAAGCATGGTGCGTACACCAAAAAACTGACAGGTTGGACACTGATCTGAGAGCTTTCAGAATTCGTTCCGGATATTGACGCATTGGCTCGAACGTCGCTTGTGCCTACAGTGTTGCCTATATCGTTGCTGAGTGCTGCATCGGCGGTTCCAAGGCGAGGTCAGAATCCAGAACATCAGGCGCGAGTGGTGGTTGAAGCTGAAGGGGAGATGCATCGGCCCAGGTACCCGGGCCCTTGACATCACGGATGCGACTCTTTCTTGTCTCCCATCTACCCTTTCCTTTCAATAATAGACAAGCTTTTCCTTCTGTTTTCCATTTCTATCATGTCCCGAGAGGCGGGTAAGGAAGCGCAACCCAAATTTTGGTGTATCAGGTGCGTTCGCTACAGGACGTACATTGCGAAAGCTGACCAGGACATGTAGGTACTTCTTCGGTATTTATGCTAAAAAGAAGGCTTCTATGTCCCAAATATCGTGCACTTCCCTGCAACAGCTGGCGGTTCTCATTGCCAATTGGAGCATGTTGCAGTCGAACAACGATATGTAGGAGCAGGAAAGCGACTGGTCGGAAGGTGCCTGCGGAATCTTCGGTCAAGCTTCAAGGCCATTCTCTACCCTGACGATGTAGCCTTTATCTGTGGTAGTCCGTGCGGTGAATTTATGTCGTGAATGTTGGTGATGGTGGTGGGGGTGGGGGTGTTTTCTTGGGTCGCTTTGGTGCGTTCTTCACTATCATGGAAACAATTCAAGTTTTAATTTTCATCCTTTCGAATAACAGCATCGTGAATGGCGCACAACGCGAGATCTCGTTACCGGAGAGTCGCTACCGACTTTCCTTTACATATCCTCAATCGTCGAATGCCAGTTTGTTTATATCCAGTAATCGCCGCTTTTGGTCTCCACATCAAGTCTCTCCCCCAGCACTACTGCCATATCTCTGAGATGGGTGCTAAGTTCGACAAGATCCTCTTCCAGGTTGCTACGCTACGGAGCATCGCCAACAGATTCTTTTTGCTCCTTGCTCAAAAAACTGCGACCGATTTCATGACAGCGATTTGGATCGTACTTGTCCCTCTACACAGTAAGAATGGATCCATACAGACGCATTCCTTGAGCTGTTGGACGAATAGTATGACAGTGATACGAGCCGCAGATACCTCTGTCTGCAACGTCATCTAACTCGTCAAATCCTGTGGTGGGAGCCCAATTTGTCATGGCGAATCAATCTTCGGACTGTTAGGTTTGTGACTTTATCCTGTCTTTGATAACGAATGCTGATCAGAGCTTTTACAGACCTGTATTCTTCACCGCCGTATAACCGTTCCAAACTTGATTGCTA